CGGCGTAAAGGCGGGCTGAGGCGAGAGCCTGATACAAAAGACGACGTTGCCACTAACTTGCAGTGCTTTCCGAACCCAAACCCAGCAAAATATGAAACCGCGTCCTCAAAGTGTCACAAACCGAACACGCTCGAGAGGATTTGCGCGATTATAGGGCACGTACGAATGATAAAATGCTGCGCTTTGCGGCGCTGTGCCATCTTCCCGAAGCCGCTTTGGCGCACAGGTCTGGTGACCCTTCCGCCTTTACGCGTCCTCTCCTCTTCGGTGTTTTGTTATGAAGTGCCATATTCGCTCCCAAGTAGGCCCGTGGGCTCGCTCTATCTCCGCGGACGGTCGTGGCGAGTCCGAGTCAACTCTCGCTCCGATTTAAGCGCTCGGAACAAGTGCGTTTTCCCCGGTTGCACATCCAGAACGAACGGTGACGCCATTTTCTGTTGAGAACAACCACGCTCGCGCAGGATAGGAAACGACACTGGTCCGCTGCACGATTCCGGGCCCGAGTGGGCAACTCCCGCGGTCGAAATCAGCCGAGATGTGTTCGCGGAGTTCTTACCTTTTGGAAAAACAACGCTGGCTTTCGAGTTGAGACGGTCGGACTCGGTCCGGAGGTGGTTTCTCTCGCGCAGACGCTGCCCTCTCGGAAGCTGCCTTTGTGCACCGCGAGGACCTCTCGGCGGAGAAGCGGCTGTTGCGCAAAGGGGCAATGGATGTTCAAGACCACCGAAATGTGGCACCCGATGTTGTCGCCGGGTTGGTGCTTCACATCTGACCCCCCGCAACCCGTGCCACTAAGAGAGGAAATTAACGAGCCGTTTTAATTTCGCACGCCCAAATGAAACCGTTGCGAATGCACCGATTCCGAATCCAAATAGCTCTTTCCTTTGGCGATTAAGACGTCGATTCAATTTATGGAAGAGATATATATAGAAATATATAAAGACTTTATACAGATATCTTTCCCAAATCATATTATAATTATATTTTAACTATATTTGGATTCATTTATGAGGGATTTTTTTAAATTACAGAAACTTTTAACTACTTGTTATGTTTGTTTAACTACTTGTATGTTTGTTTGTTTTTTAAATGGTAAGGTCCTGGAATAAAATCAGGCCTTGATAGACCTTCAAGTAGATTTTAATGTCTGCTTTTGTTGATTTCGATATTGTTGTGATGGTATGACGTCGAGGGAATGACATTTTTTGAGTTTTTTCAAAACAAATCGATTAAAAGTTGGACTTGCTAGCACAGTAGCTAAGTGAGTTAGCAATTAACTTTGAATTTTTAAATTAATTAATTGATTGTTTCTCAATTAAAATAGCCTACTGAAATAATCCGTTTTGGTAAGGACACCTAAATCTCTCAGATCATTTTGTCAAAGTTTAAAACAAATGAATGACATTTCTGTTCTTCAAACTCTCACTTATTTACATTATATCTTAGTTTATTTTTCAATTTCTTTGATAATTATATAAATGCCAAATTAGTTGAAAAAGTTTTTAAGAAAAACAACAACAATTTAGAAGGGAAGTTAAGAAGTCTGGGCGAGAGACATGCCCAAAATTGGGGAACTGTGGCAAATGCATAGCATTTAAAAAATCTTAAAAATTAGGAACAATTGAAAAAGTTTGTTAGAAAAAAATTGTCTCTTTAAAATCATCCTGGGGACAGACTATTTCTCCTAATGGAAGAATCATCTTAGTTTTTATCATCATCATCGTTATTATTTATTTTATAACATGACCGTTTACGATTATAGCATTTACAAGAAATAAATCCTAAACATAACATAGTAGTGGCCTTGTAACACTGTAAAAAGTAACACTGAAAGGACATTACAACTCTTCGTAACGGAGTGAACACACCTACATGTCCACAACTTTCAACTGTTGCCACCAGAATTAGCATGTCTTTGTTCCTCCCATTGAATTGCTAATTTTAGCAGTTCTCTGTCACTCTCTCCACTGAGTGTCTGCATTTTGTACATGTAATTACTAACAGGTTTGTTTAGGTAAACTAGTTTCCAATGATAAACTGAACTGATATGGAAAAATATTAATTACAAGAGTAGACTTTTCTATATCAATAAGATGTTCTCATGCATGGTTTGCATTGAATAGAAAGTATTAAACCAGACAACATCTTCAAAGAAATGCTGCTAGTTTTCTTCACTTTTAATAGTAAATTTTCAATTTAAACTCTTGGTGATTTTTAGTGGATTTGTGAAATCAGTTTACACAGCTGTAGTTTCTCACATTAACCATCAACATGATCCAAAATTGTAAAACTAAAGCTTCCAAAAGTGAGTTTTCACAGCAACGCTGTAGAAGATCTATTTTTGTTTATCCACAGAAACTGTCAGAGAACAGTTAAAAACCTTTTCCACTATAAAGAACCTTTTGTCCAATGGAAAGGTTTCATGGATGTTAAACGTTCTTCAGTGTTAGTTTTACTACATTTGATTGCAGCTTTTGATACAGTTGACCATTCTATTTTAATTAATACATTGAGAACATACATGGGTCAGGGTTTTGGGACGGTGTTGGATTGGTTTGTGTCTTATTTATCAAACAGGACATTTGTAGTGTCAGTTGGAGATGAAGTATCCCAACGTACTGACATTTTATGTGGAGTTCCGCAGGGATCCCTTTTAGGACCAATTTTGTTTTCAATTTACATGCTTCCTATAGGTGATGTAATCCGAAAGCATAATATAAATTTTCACTGTTATGCAGATGACTTACAATTATACTTATCATTGAGTTCCAAAGATCTGAATAGTTTGGATGTCCTTCAGGCATGTTTAACTGATATAAAAAATTTGGATGGCTCTAAACTTTCTGCAGTTAAATACTGAATTTTTTTTTGTTATAATTGGTCAGAGCTCGAGTAATCAGATTGAGCTTGTTCTAAATAGTGTTTTTCCAAATAATAAACAGGTAGTAAGAAATTAGGGTGTTTATTTTGATACTAATTCAAATTTTGAAAATGTCAAGAAATCAATCTTGTTTTTATCAGTTAAGAAATATTTCTAAGGTGAGACGGTTTTTAAATTGAAGGATACAGAGAAACGTATTCATGCTTTTATTTCTTCCCGTCTTGACTATATGCCTTGTTTTCTTCTTTTAATCATCATAATTTATCACGTTTACAATTAGTGCAGAATGCTGAAGCCAGATTATTGACACTAACAAAGTTTTTCATCATATTACACCCGTTTTAGCTTCTCTACATTGGTTACCTATTTATTATAGGATTGATTTCAAGACTTTATTATTGACATATAAAGCGTTAAATGGCTTGGCACCTATGTATTTAGCTGAGCTTCTGAGACCGTATGAAACAGGGAGCTGTCTTCATTCTTCTTTTAAAGAATTGCTGGCAGTTCCAAGAACTAGATATAAAACCAAAGGAGATAGAACATTTGCAGCCAACAACCACAAAGTATCAACCCCAAAGTAATACTTTTTATCTTTACTTTGCACCATATATTTAACGATTTATCTTTTTAAACCTACACATTTTTTTGTTCATTAAAAAAATGATACAATAAATGTGACTTTTTATTTCAACTATTTATTTAGGTTTTTTTATTCTAACTATCTATTTTAATATTTTATCTAATGGTCACATCTCATTTTGGCAGTAATAAAAGTTCTAGAGTCTCACTGAAACTGTGAAAATGTCTTAAGTTTGTGGCTTATGTAGCCAATCTGATTATTGGAAATATCATGGCCATGGTATTTATAATTGAACTATATGTTAAAGAAACAGACAACTTCATTTCAAGTTAATAATTTTCAAATCAGTTTTGTATATTATTCATTCATTACATTTAGTGCACTTCCAGCACATTTATTCGCAGGTAGGATGTAATGTGACATATGCTAATTAATTTTCTATAATTGTATAGACACACAAAGTAGGGTAAAGGCAGAAGAATATATTTTTTTCTTTTCTTTTTTCTAGTTCAGTTCAGGTACTAAGGTGCCTTTGACACCATTAATGGTCTTTTCTGTGCGTCTCTGTCCCTAGTTACCTGAGTCACCTAAAAGGATAGGTGACTCAGGTAACTAGGTAACTAGGACTTCCATTGTATGGACAGAAACAGTTGGTCACCGAATGTTGATTTTCGGTTGAACGATTCCTTTAAATGTCACCTTCACTTGTATATACTGTATGTGTACCAGATTTCCCTAGCCCACCAGTATCCAAATAGCTTTACACAATACCCCTATACAACCTGGGGCCATAACAGTTTGTTTTGTATTGCATATAGTTATCACCTAAAATAAATGTTTAAAATAATTTTGATATAAGGAAAGACGCCATTTCAGTTCTGTAAAGGTTAACTCTTGCATAAAAGCTTATGTAAAAATAAAACCCATGTTCAAAATGTATGAAAAATAATGCACAAGGTCAATAAGGGGGTAAAATTTGCATCAAGAGCTTTAGCTGCTACAAAAAAATAACATTGTTACAACTCATTCAAACTGTAATATTAAAGCTCTCATGAATTATTCAGCATCACTGCATCGATATGGAGGGCTACTGTATATGTTATAAAATATATTTATGCTCTGTGTTGATTTGTTTACATTTTAATTTGATGTCTTTGATGTTGTTCACCCGAAAATAAAAACTAACATCCCATTGATTTCCATGGTATGGATAAAATACCATGGACGTCAGTTGGGACCATCAACTGTTTGGTTACCAACATTCTTCAAAATATCTTCTTTGGTGGTCATAGAGGTTTGGAACAACTGACAGAGTTTTTGGGTGAACTACCACTTTAAGGTTTAACTATAGGACAATTGGTCTTTACAAAGTTGGCAAAATCTGACCCACACACATAGGAAGTGTTAAAATTGAAGTGGCAAGAAATGATGACATATGTGAAGATTTTCAGTTTGTATTAGATACTTGTTTTATATAATTTATTTATATATGCATACATACAGTATGTACTGTTTTCTATATAAAAGCAATTGTAAAGATACTTAGGACAGAGTTCTCCTATAGCTGGACTGTTGCTGCACTTCCGACAAGCCCTTCTGTCCTAAACAGAGAATTAGAGAGGTCTAGATAAAGTATGAACAAAATGCACAGACACTAATCTGTCCTATTCAAGGGTATCAAAACATGAAAGACAGATACATATAAAACAATATATATAGCCTACAAAACAATACATGAGCATAGTGAATGCATTAGGAATTGGGTCTGAATTCAGATCCTTTGAATCTTCAAATGATGCCATATCACTCCAGCAGCGGTTATACTTACGCCTCTCTCATGAACGTCTCTTGTGATATTCTGTCATCACTGGCTCCTTCTGGGAACTCATTGAAATTCTTGATGCCAAGTGTCTTCAGTGCTGTTGGGAAGCCATGTTGTGCGTATACAGAGTCAGACCATTAGTAATTCTTATACTCATGAATTGTAAACAAAATAACTTAAGTTTACATGGAAATGTACTGTAAAAGTCGCAGTGCATTCAGGTCATTATCAGGGTCAGTTGTTTCCCCATGACTTAGTACTTATACAATAAACCAGATACTGAACACGGTCACATTATTTGATAGATTTAAAGGAATAGTTCACCCAAAAATTTAAATTAGCTGAAAATCCAGTGACCCTCAGGACATCCAAGATGTAGATGAGTTTGTTTCTTCATCAGAACAAATTTGAAGAAATGTAGCATTACATCATTTGCTCACCAAAATCTGCAGTGAATGGGTGCCGTCAGAATGAGAGTCCAAATAGCTGATAAAAACATCAAAATAATCTACAATCACCAATCTATCAATTAACATCCTGTGAATCAATTCATAAACAAATACATTAAGATGTTTTTAGGTTCAAACAGTTACAATTCTCTATCCATTATATTGCTTTCTCCAGTGAAAAAGTTGTCTCGTCTGAATCAGGAGATAAATATGCACAGATCAAGCACTGTTTACAAGCGAAAACAGTCTAAAACAATTCTAAACAAATATGTCTGTGGATTTTAATGTGAGAGGACAGCACAGGATTTTTTCACTAAAGGAAGTGTTAGTATGGATTACGGACTGGAATTTTGGAATTTGAAGTAACAGGTTATCATAAAAATGCCTTAATGGGATAGTTCACCCAAAAATATATTTTTTTTATTAATTACTCACCCTCATGTCGTTCCAAACCCGTAAGAACCTTCATTCATCTTGGAAAGACAAATTAAGATATTTTTGATCAAATCTGAGAGACTGAATTTTCATTTTTGGTTGAACTAACCCTTTAATGATTTATTTGTTTCTTAGAAACACACTGTTTGAACGCTCATTCTGACGGCACCCATTCACTGCAGAGGATCCATTGGTGAGCAAATGCTAAATGTATATGTAAATGAGCAAATGTAATGCTAAATTTCTCCAAATCTGTTCTGATGAAGAAACAAATTCAAATACATCTTGGATGGGCTGAGGGTGAATACGTTTTCATTTTTGGGTGAACTATCCTTTTAACTTTGTTCAAGCAAGTAATGTAGAAGAACATTTTCAATAAAACCTTATTTTTATTTTTAAATAGTTGTTCATATGAATATCCACCAATGTGCAAGTCTCTATTTGATGCCTTTACATTTAAATATTAAAACTATTGCTAAAAACATTAATAATATGTGTTTAAACAAAAATCCTTAAAATGTCATGGATAATTGGCCTAATTTTTCTGGTATTTAAGCACTGGTATTTTGCTCAATCAGCAACTATGAAGCCTACTTAAATTTATAATACAATATAATATAATATAATCATTGAAATTCTTGAAATGTTTGTTGATGGGGTTTTTTCAAAACATCGACAAAAATTGTTTTTGAATTGGGAATTTCACTGCTTATATTATATTTCCATGCATTTGACAAACACTTTTATTCAGATGACCTCCTTTATATGTTACTGTAGTTAGTTACAGCACAGCTTTTCCCAAAATGACAAGGTCTTTTACAGCCTCTGCAACATTATGGCAGTTTTACCTTCTTTGTATTGACTGTAAGTGATCGAGCCTTGATGGGAAGGATCCAGGACTCCAAACAGCGTATCTAAGTTGGACTCGTTAAAGAGGCACGGAGGCTTTCCTGGATGAACTTCCGAAACTTTCAGCTTTTCAAGCTGGTCTATCAGAAATTCTCTAGGACGGTCTGTAACGGCAGAATTCATGAGACTGGGCATTAAGCTTCTCATTATTTTTCTGTTTCCCAAAAAAATGAACGGCAAGAAAGCAACTGGTTACTACTCTAGATGTCTAACTTACACACTACAAAAACGGTCCTTATTTATGACATCAAACTTTCAATTTCAAATTCAAATGTATGCTGATTAAGGTAAATGCGACACAGGTTACTCGGAGGTAGACGGTGAACTAAAGTAGTCTACCAAATCTACTCGAGTCAAAAGTCCCACCTGGTCTGTAGAAGAAGAGCATACTAGTTAAATTATCCATAAGCTCAATAATTTTGTGTTTCTCGAGGTATTCTGCTGCCTCGAGCTCCCGCGGCGATGACATCTTGGCCACCGGTGTTTATCAGTTGCGATGACACCGCGCATGCGCAGTAGAGGTGGCAGAAGTCCGCGCCCTGCTGTAGCAAGAGTTCCAGAGGGATTTTATTCATTATCTTGAATTATTAATAATAACTGAAGTTGTAATAAAGGAACTCGTCGTAGAAGACTGAAGCAAATTATTACTGGATCTCACCTCGGTTTAATATCAAGTCACTTCGACCGTTCGACCAAAGATGTGTTATTCCAAACCTGTGTGAAATGACTTCTTCTGCGGATCACAAAAGGAGATGTCAGACAGCTTCAGGCACCATTTCATATACTCTATGGGAAAAGATGCAATGAAAGTGAATGCTGATTGAAGCCTAACATCTCTCGTTTTGCTCTATTTGAGTGGACTTCCGGTCTAATCCTCTTCCATCTCTTCGTCTCTTTAGTCAACCGTGATATATGGTCATGTATTGTGAATTGTGTTACCAGCTTCCACGTAATTTACATGATATTTACATAACTTTGCATTTTTGTGTAATATTAATGTTTAATTTTGTATTATTAAATACAATAAATACTAACTAGCCAACAAGAAATAAACAGCTCAAATATGACAAATGTGTGAGAGTTTTACAAACTGTAGGATGTCAGTCGGGAAAACGAACCATAGGACAAAGATTCCTTTTTTATTTTTTGCATGGTATGATTCTTTTAATTCCCACGCACATGAAAATGAGTCTAAGCCGAGCACAGTAGTTGTCTGTTGTTTGCATTGCTTGTGGGGAAAAAAGTTTCTGAAATTCTGAGTATAATTTGCCTTGTTTAACCACTAGAGGGAAGTGCTTGAGACCTGTATGGGATGAGTTGATCTAATGGTAGAGAGCTTGTAAAGGGGAAGTACACGAAAGTGATCATTGCAGAAACTGAGCCTTTCTCCCTTTATTCAATGGTATTGATATATTATATTATATTATATTATATCAGTATGTTTTGCATTCTTTATGTCATGCATGTTCAGGGTGTAAGAGGCAGGGGAAACAAGCCCTTAGCAAGTCATTAGAAAATGTATTTTATTCACCTAAACATAAATTAATATTAATAAACAGTTACATACAAAGCTGTGTATAAAATCAATGTACATTTTAAAAAAAACATTATTGCTAAAACATTTCGTTCAGTTAGTCACTTTTTAAAACGTTTAACAAAACAAGATTTAAAGTGCCCCTATTATGCCTTTTCAAACATGACCTTTCATGCATGTGTCATGTAGCTGTATGTGAACATAAACTATCTGCAAAGTTGTGAAGCCGACAGTGCACGATAAATAAAGTTATTGTCTATCAAAAAAAAAAAAGAATCGGCTCGCAAACGCCTAAATTAGTCGTCACAAATTCTAATCTTATTCTGTTACGGCTCTACGTCACGAAGGAACACATTTGCATAATGTCCGCCCACGTTCTACATCGCCCTCTTGCCCGCCCACAAACAGTGCAATTTCCGTGTGGTTAACATCATGTCGAGAAGACGCTGTATCCTACGCTGTGAGAGTACATTTGTTTTATCACTTATATCTTATAATTACCACAAACTTGTTAACACTTGACACTCACCACTGAGAAACGTCCTGCTCCAGTCGTGCTTGCGAATCAGTCTCTTGTCGATCAGCCACTTCGACCGTTTCGTCGTCAGACTCCGGCTCGAATTGGTAAGGTACAATCGATACCATCTTTTCTATGTATTGACAAGTCTCCAGGGCTGTCATTCCGTCATGGCAATGGGCGTTTCGTTTCAGACACGCGCTGCCCGCCCACAAACAGTGCAATTTCCGTGTGGTTAACATCATGTCGAGAAGACGCTGTATCCTACGCTGTGAGAGTACATTTGTTTTATCACTTATATCTTATAATTACCACAAACTTGTTAACACTTGACACTCACCACTGAGAAACGTCCTGCTCCAGTCGTGCTTGCGAATCAGTCTCTTGTCGATCAGCCACTTCGACCGTTTCGTCGTCAGACTCCGGCTCGAATTGGTAAGGTACAATCGATACCATCTTTTCTATGTATTGACAAGTCTCCAGGGCTGTCATTCCGTCATGGCAATGGGCGTTTCGTTTCAGACACGCGCTGTACGCGGTAGACCAATCCAGAGCCAAGCTCTCTACGGCTCTGGACCAATCACAAATGACTGCGCCATCTGACCAATCACAGCAGTGAGGGCTCACGGAAAGGAGGAGTTTAGAGAGACTGATTCTTTGAACTGCTTCGCACGAGTCGTTTACGAATCATTTACAAATGAAGTCAAATTAAATCTATTTTCTGAGAAAACTAACGTGTTTTTTTAACCTTGCATGCATGTAAACCTGTTTTAGGAGACTCATAAAACAATATTAGCAACCTTAAAAATGGCATAATAGGAGCACTTTAAGAAGTGGGTCTACTTCAATTATAAATTAAATTAGGGGTTCAAGCGTGAAGACCACTTGGTGGCGCTACAACAGGAAAAAACTTGAAAATGGCTGTAACTACGGGTTAAGGCTGGAAGGTGTACTGCTGTGGCTACTGGGCATGCGCACATCAATATAGCTGTCACACTGTACAACAATAATTACAGTTTTTGCATTAATGTAAGGGGTAGGTTTAGGGTTGGGTAGGTGTAGACATTAATAAAAACAATCTAATAGGTAGAAAATTTTATTTATTGTTGGTTTCCAGCCGTAGCTGTATCCCTGCTAGCCACAGCCATAACTATGAACACGTTAGTCTGATTGACTTGAAATTTGGCATACAATGTCTTTTTGACCAATGTGCCACCAACATCTATAGGTGCTTTCACGCCATATCGTAATTACCGTAATTACGAGATTCCAACTTGAAAAAAGCATTCACCTCCTTGTAGAACTCGTAATTACAACTTGTGAACTGGGAGTTTTCTGAGAGCTACGGCTTGTACCAAGTGACCGCTGCACCTCACACAGAACCAGAGAAACATGGCGGCGCTTCCAGTAGTAAAATGTAATCAAGCAGTTATTTCGTAATATTTCTGTTTTAAAATTCGTGTAATTGACTTTTGCCAATGTAGATGTCTTCAAACAAAAGTAATGTGAACATAAATGAAAGACATGCAGCACAGAGTTAGATTTATAGCTGCCAGTAGCTTTCTTTCACGCGGGTTCATTTTGTTGACAGTCACTATAGAAATGGATAATCCCCAGTCCGAGGACATGAACAGCACCGAGTTGAACGTCACGTGCTGTCATCTCGGAATTACGGTAATTACGACATGGCGTGAACGCAGCATTTGAGGGCATTGATGTATCTTGAAAAGCATGGCCGCCATCAACCAATCAACTTTAAGCACCTATTAGACAAGGTTAACGGAGGCCAATTATAATGGACGTGTTTGACTCTTGGCCCTGATCAGTTTTAGTTAGTACTTCAACTTATTTTCAGTTAGCAGCCAAAACATTTCTAATTTAAGTTCTTTTCTTCTTTTTTTTTTTTTTTTTTAAATCTAATATTTAATATGGAGACATTGCCTTTATTGCAACATAATTATGCAAAGGGACCTTTATCCCTTTAAATGCTGACATCTATTTTTCTATTTTTGTTTCATTCTCCCTTTGGATTATTTATTTGATTTAAAAGTGTATTTAAATATTTTGTCATTTGTAAGCATTAAAATAGCATATGTAGAAGCAATATCTGTATAATAAAATAAAGTTTTGTTGTTTCTATTTCTTTTGTACAATACAGCGAGGTCAGCACCTCCCCAACAAGCTGCATGGAGCCACAGTCTTGTCGTTGAGAACGTATGCTGACAAAGCACCAAGTAAGACGACTAAAGCCCCGTTCACACCAAGAACGATAACGATATTAGCGTCCACACCAGCGGACGATATCGTCTGTTTATTCTAAGCACACGTGTCTGCCGCTTTAAGTTCTCGAGCTTGTGACAGCAGGATTGATTCTGATTGGCTGCCAGTTATATCATTGGTGATTCCAATGATATTGTTTCTCTGTGCCTTTATCGTTATAGCTGTGGTATGAACTCTGCTATTCTTTAATATTCAGAATGATTTTTAGAACTATATCTTTATCGTTATCTTTAGATATCGTTATCCTTGGTGTGAACGGGCCTTTATATAATCATATCTGTACTGTTATATTTATAAACATTCAGTGATGACCTTTAACAATAGACAAGCTAAATGATATGAAATGCACTAATATGTAAATCCATACTGAAACAATAATTTGTTCTGTCAAAGTTGATGCTGATGTCACAGTTGTGGGCTCTGGGCCTGGAGGATACGTCGCCGCCATCAAAGCAGCTCAGCTTGGCTTTAAGGTATCATTTTGACACCCGGGTCACAGATACCATCAGCTTTTCTTTGACTGTGTTGGTAACATGCAAACTTCTTTCACAGACAGTATGTGTGGAAAAGAACACGACCCTCGGAGGAACGTGCTTGAACGTGGGCTGCATCCCGTCAAAGGTTTGTGATTTTTATTTTTTTAAAGTGCTTTTCCAAAATGACTAAGTTATGCTCAACTTGATTTTTTTTTTTTTGCTTATTTAAGGCTCTGCTGAACAACTCGTACCTGTATCATCTGGCACACGGAAACGATTTCGAAAGCAGAGGCATTGAAAGTAAGTTCAAGTGTAAACATGTGATATGGGTCCACATATCGCGTGTTATTGTGTCAAGGATATGCAGAAGCCAACAGATTTGAATGAGGCCATTTAAACTGTAATAAATTATAGAGGATTTTTTTTTTCTTTTTTCAAATCATGTCTTTTAAGTCTGTTAGTCAATCTGTTTCATCATGATTTCTTCTACATTAGTTCAGGGGCTCTCATTGAACCTGGAGAAGATGATGGCACAGAAGAGCGGGGCTGTCAAAGCTCTGACCGGAGGAATCGCACACTTATTCAAGCAGAACAAAGTGAGATTCAGTATTTCTTTTTTTATTTGTTTTATCTGTTTATCCAATGGTAATATGCCGTTGTAGATCAATACACTTTTTAGAGCTATACTAAATTATTTTTTTCTTTTTGCAATCCCTAGGTAACTCACATCAATGGTTTTGGAACGGTAACTGGCAAGAGTCAAGTGACCGCAAAGACTGCTGATGGAGAACAGGTCATAAACACTAAGAACATCCTCATCGCTACTGGATCAGAGGTCACCCCCTTCCCAGGCATTGAGGTACATCAGCGATAAACAAGAACATAAGCCGCTGATGACACACGGAGCAACTTTTTGAGCAATTTTGCCGGGCAGCTTTTTTTAAACAATGTTGCTTGGGCACTTTCCCATTGAGAATGGGTAACAAATTTCTATCTGGATAATTTAGATCGGTCGTGGGCCCTGTATCTCACCTGGTTGGCCATTGATGGCAAAGTTGCCCTGTGTATCATCAGCACTGTCTACCGGCTTCACTGACAGCTGCCTTCTAAAGGCCTGGGTGTATTTCTTTCCATCTTCCGCACAGCTTTTAAAGTATACTCAGCTGCAGATGAGCTCTCATGGACGAGTTCGACACATGCGCAGTTCACCTTGTGTCTGCGCTGTTGTATGCAGACCATCCACAGGAACAAAAATTGGGTCGCACACAAACTGTGCGCTGATGTCCACGGACACTGCGTTACACCGACAATGTGTGGACCGTTGCGGAATGTGGACGGTTGAAGTATACTTTGAGTTTAAATGAGCATCCTAATCGATATGGAACCTCATAAGTGAGCGATGTGGAACACTCTACATCAGAGGTTCCCAACTCGTCCTCGAGATCCACTTTCCTGCAGAGTTTAGATCCAACCTTGTTCAAACTCACCTGCCTGTTACTTTGTACCAATCCTAAAAGACCTTGATTACCTTGTTCAGGTGTGTTTGATTGATTAGGGTTGAAGCTAAACTCTGCAGGAAAGTGGACCTCGAGGGCCAGAGTTGAAGACCCCTGCTCTACATGTGCCACCCACAGAAGCCTCAAATCACATGTGGTTTCAGTAGAGTTTGCCAATTAACAGCTTGCTAAACTAACTGCGCGAAACTGTAATAAGGATAAAATGCATAGCATGCAGAAATATTTGGTAAAATAGTAAATTATTAATTAGTATATTATACCCATTTTATTTTCCAATATATTTATTTGTATTGTAAGTTAGAATTATGATTTTTTTTTTTAAAGCTCCATGTTTGCTGTGCTTATTTGTTTATATCATTATGACTATGAAATAAATAATAATTACAATAATAATTGCTAAATAAAAATATCGAACAAAATAAGAAATATTACAATTGCAGTATTTCACTGTAAAATAAACTAAGCATTTAAGAAAAAACATAATAATTTTGTTATAGTACAACTGTAAAATTACAATAGTAATATTGTTATTTTTATTTCTTAATTTTCCGATGTTAAACCACTGAGCTTTCATTTTCCTGGAAAACCACAAAGAGCCCTTATGGTGTGTGCACCAAAAGCGAAGCGAATATTAGCATTGCGTTAATCACTCTAGATTACTCGCGGGATGTTTTTCTCGTCACTCGTGTGGATAAAGATATCGCTCAATGAGGAGTGTCTTAACGCACATCAACAAACAACAACAAGTCAATCTGGACGTGTCAGTAAGCTCCTCTCTGATTGGCCGGCGTGACAGTGCGTAATTTCTCGAGTTTTGAATTTCCCACTCGAGTTGAAAGATGCGAACGAGGCAAATATCACGCGTTTGTGGCAATCGCGTTGCCCAATTTGCATCTATTCCCATCTCTGCATTACTTTGTGTGTAATCTACTTGCACAAATGATTAAATTCGCTTTTTTTTTTTTTTTTGCACACACCTTTAAATCTTCTCTTTTGTTGACAACAGCCAGTTTATAAGCGCTTCTTCTCATTATTTAAATTTGAGTCTTTGTGATTTGATAATTGCAATAAGCCATATTGCGATTTCACGGTTTTACTTCAGGCAAAAGAGTTTTCTTGCTTGGTCTGCTGTCTTGTATAATTATGATCCTCTTTTGATAGATCGATGAAGACACCATTGTCTCATCCACCGGCGCTTTGTCCCTCAAGAAGGTTCCAGATGAGCTCATCGTGATTGGAGCTGGAGTCATTGGCGTAGAGTTGGTGAGTAGGCAATTGGTTGATTGTGGTGTTTCATTCCATAATCATCATAACACTGATCTAAATTTTGGTCATGAAACTGCTTGTTTGTAACATTTGAAGTCCAATGATGCTTCTGAATTGGGTTTGATAATGGAGATCCATTCTGTTTGTTTCCAGGGGTCCGTATGGCAGAGGCTTGGTGCCAAAGTCACAGCGGTGGAGTTCCTCGGCCACGTCGGCGGAATGGGCATTGACATGGAGATCTCCAAGAACTTCCAGCGAATTCTCCAGAAGCAGGGGTTGAAGTTCAAACTGAGCACCAAGGTCATGGGCGCCAGCAGGAGACCTGACGGCAAGATCGATGTGGCGTGAGTGCAGCGTTTATTCATCTGCTGTGTAGGAACTAATTCATCTAGTGCTTTTGCCCATTTTGTTGTTTCCGTTGGTTAGTGTGGAAGCTGCAGCTGGCGGCAAGAGCGAGACGCTCACCTGTGACGTTCTGCTGGTGTGCATTGGCCGCCGTCCCTTCGCCAGTAACCTCGGCCTTGAGGCTGTCGGTATAGAAAGTTGAAAAATACTAACTGAATAGCTCACAACACAGACATTTAGATATGCAAGTATTTCCCATTTCACTCTTCTCACGTTCATAGCTGACAGATACTCAGCAGCCTGGCTTCTAAATGTATTCCTCAGCAAAGTCAGATGAGAGATGGTTGTTATTGCTGGTGTTACTGCTGCAAGACACTGTTTAACAGATGGCGATATATCCTGTTAGCACTTCATTTGACAAATTTCAACACCCATCCTTCCTGATTCATTTTATTCACTATACCCTGAATTCAAAGCTTATTTCAGTTTTCTGCAGGGGCTCATTATCTGGTAAAAAGTGAATAATTATATTGAATATAAAATGAAAATAAATAAATGGGGTTGCATAAAAATCACGATAAAGCTTAGCATAATTATCAAATCAAACACTGCAATTTAATTAAATGCATATTTTGTTGCACTGCGTGTTTTAGAGTAAAGCATGGCACCGTGTTTAGCACATACATGCACAGCCAATGTTCCGGTGTTTTCAGCATCTCAGAGCGTCTTGGTTTTCAAAAAATGCAGTGAAATTCATTTCAAATTCATCATTTAATGTGCATTTTTGGACCCAACTTGCGCTGTTTTTACTTTAATTACACACATAATTTCCAAAATTTTTCGACAGAGCTTTACAGCATTTCAGGATTCTGTCAAAATAAAAGCTTGGTCATTAAAGTTGTTGAAAGGTTGAGGGTTTGAACATTTAAACGTTTGAAAGTGAAGAATTTAGGACATAAATATCATATCTAGATTACCTTTACATCACATTAATTGTGTATGTAGCTTATAACTATTAAGCTATATATATATATATATATATATATATATATATATATATATATATATATATATATATATATATATATATATATATATATATATACATATATACATATATACATATATATACATATATACATATATATATATATAATTTTGTTACATTTACAGTTTATGCATAATTCAGAATATGCATAAAACACCACGAAAAACCATGTAAAACCTTTTGTTTATTTATATTCTTCTAAATAAGCATCTTTTTGTGTTTACTTTGGAAAAATACATGTTTCTGTGAATATAAATGATTGCTGGGGAGTGTAACTTCAGACACTGAAATGCACAAACGATTGGAAAATGAAATTTAAGTTTTTCCAACCCACTGATGCTACATGATATTGCTATTCTATTTCACGCGTCCACACAAAGCTATAAAAGGCTTTCAGGAAGTGATCTACTTAGTGGTCTTCATGTAGCCTATAATGCTGTGTGCTCTGATTTAATTTCTGAAAATATTCACGAGCAAACCATCAATGTAAAGTAAAGCATTATGTGCTATAGTGTACAAGTGTACATCTATGTAATGGCAACATGATGGTATCTGAGAGCTGTAATGCTCACACACTATACTTTCAGATGATGGGAGGGTATTAAACTCTTAAGAAGCTCAAATCAATTAGCTAATAACTGCAGATGGACAGATGTAAACGTAGGGTGAGAGAAATGTGTCACCTTCTGTTAAGGTTAAATTTAATTCAGCTGTTTTTAGCTACCTTATTTTGCATGTTGGTTTATTTTAAACCAGTTTCAGTTCCCTAAATTATGTTGATCATCAGACTAGAGCAGCTTTTGATGATTTTCCAGTCATTGAAAACAGGTTAATCTTAATGTGTTCCACGTACATGACCATTCAGTTGCAGAATTAGAGTTTTATTCATGGCAAAGGCTACTTCAGCGGGTCCATAGGAAAATTAGTGTGCAGAGGAGAGTGGGACACAACCTAAAACTTTTTAGCTTTCTCTCATTTTTGTGTGTAAATTCACTTGAGGTTTCAGAATATTTATTTTTTCCACATTAATTTCACATATCTTGTACAAATATGTGGTCTTGTTTCATTAATACAGTGTGTACTTATTTTCACCCTGAAATAATGGAAATGTGACAACATGCTGCGTATGAACACGCTGTAATGGGTTGTAACATGTGAGGGAGACGTTATAACATGACCAAACACATCTATACAGCATAGACTAGTTAAAAACAATGTGAACAAATAGACAAAGAAAACAGTCAGAAAAATGCAGAGCTGCACACACACACACACACACACACACACACACACATCTTTCCCTCCACGCACAGCTCTCCCAAAACAGGAGATACGAGCCAGTTTTATTCATGGCAAAGGCTACTTCAGCGGGTCCATAGGAAAATTAGTGTGCAGAGGAGAGTGGGACACAACCTAAAACTTTTTAGCTTTCTCTCATTTTTGTGTGTAAATTCACTTGAGGTTTCAGAATATTTATTTTTTCCACATTAATTTCACATATCTTGTACAAATATGTGGTCTTGTTTCATTAATACAGTGTGTACTTATTTTCACCCTGAAATAATGGAAATGTGACAACATGCTGCGTATGAACACGCTGTAATTGTTGTAGCATTTTTCCCTCTATATAGTGTTGATATGGCAACTAGTTATATTCAGTATAGTATATAGTATATTCAGTATAGTATATTCAGTCATTTAGTCCGAGGACTACGATAGGCTGTCCTACCTGCCTGTCAACAATGTATTTACATATCTCCACACACCCTGTTCGCACAGACATGGTATATCATGGACGGCTTTATTACTGTAATATTATGCGCTTTGTACTGTACTGTTTTCTCACTGGAGAATGAAATGGGAGGTAATCTGACACCGTTGCATTCAATCCTCCACCAACCCCGTCTCTCATCGCGTGACTGGTTAGCCTCTGCTCTGTCGGAGCACGTTTATGTGTTTTGGAGGAGGCGTGGCTTTGGAGAGTGATTTGCAGGGAGGGTGAGATCTTATGCTTTCAAAGCTGGCTTGCTTGCCTCTCTGAAATGGCCTACCCTACCTTTAACGGTGCATTCACACGGAGCATCAGTGTTAACACATTTCTCATTAGGTGTGTTTGACTTCATGCGGCGCTGCACAGACCAATCGGTGATAGTTGCCGCTTGCAGTCAGTGAAAGCGGAGATGTAAAGTCGGACATTTTCTCCTTCCTTTATTGGTATTTAAATAGTATAGGTATATGTTGAACTTTATTCTTGTACAGATGGTGGTATTAAACACTACATGAAAAGTATTTGTGTTGCCTCATGAAAATGTCTCTGAAATGTGTTTAATTCACTCAAACACCGCGTGAGTATCTGTACAAGACTAAAGTTCAACATATGCCTATACTATTTAAATACCATTAAAGTGGGTCAATATATACTTCTACCAGTGTTTTTTGATAACCATGACTCAAAATAACATTGTAACTACAGTAAAATAGCTTTTACTGTTATAAACTGTATTAGTGGAACCAAAGGTGTCAGAATAAACACGAAACACGTCATCGTTGCCATGTGGTGAATTCGGTCAATCGTGAAACAGCTGTCGTCATCAGATCTCCTGCAGCTGCTTTGGAGTAACTACTCCGACTGAGTCAGCCGACTGCTCTCGAACTGCTTTTGCGGTACTTTGATGCCATACGTCACAGTAACATGGCATCGGACAAAATTTCTAACCGGCATGCACTGCTTCAAGTCAACCTTCAAGTCATCGGCCTTGTCCCAAATGGCACACTTCATGTGCACTTACGGTCTTGTGGACTTACAATGGCCGCCACATGCACATGTCCGTTAAGTCCACGAGACCTTAGGGTGTCCCATTCATCATTTTAGCTTTCAGAAGGGTGCTCGCAAGTGCCCTCGATGCGCACTTCTGCCGAGCCCTCACTAAGGTGAGCTCCCCGGCAGACTTCTACCCAACAGTCAAAGTGGCATTACGTCACGAAAGTGTGGACTCAGAAGAAGGCTGTGAGGGTTTAGGGTGCGATTTGGGACAGTACGCTGACCGATCAGCGTATGACATCAAAGTACCGTGAGAGCAATTCAACACCATAAAGAGTCGTCTGCTCTCCAATCGCACTCGCTGTACTTTGATGTCATACGCCAATGCATCTATTTACTTTGAATGGGTGACATCTATTTCTATGCAAGGCCCACCGCCTATGTATTTCCGCTAAAATTTCAGTTGTATGCGAGCTTCCGGTTTAGCATTCTGTGCAATACCATACCATAGCAAGCTGTGGTAATAGAGTGGTCTTGCTGTCAAATTTTCGATTAACTAGTGATTACAAATAATTGTTTTATATTATATATTTTATTAACTGTAGTAACATAACATTTTAGTATATTATATTAGAATGTAACGTTTTATTAATGAGTTCAAGAAGCTTCAAGTGCCTTCGGCGTGAAGGTGCAACGTCTATGTCATTTATCATTCCTTTCTAATTTTGTATATTATACAGTACATGCAATATACATTTTGTTATGATTGTGTGGGGGGATGTGGTTAAGATAAATAACTTTGATACAGTGTTTCTATAAACATGTAAATATAAATAACTTTGATTGTGCTTCTGTAAACGTAAATATAAATAACTTTGATGCAACGTTTCTGTAAACATGTAAATATAATTAACTTTGTGAGTGCTTCTGTAAATATAAATAACTTTTGATACATTTCTGTAAACACGTAAATATAAATAACTTTGATACAGGGTTTCTGTAAACTTTGATACATGCTCAATCTTGTGTGCTGTTTCCAGAGATACTGCCAGTGACTTCATGTGCAGTAGTCCATGTTTGCTATGTACAAATAAGCACACATGTGGGTCAAGGTTGTAACCATCTAGTGGCAGAGGTGGTTGTGGTGGGGCATCTTGAGTAATTCTGTGGTTAGTTTCCATACTTTCCCTTTGGACAAGGAAACTCATAAAAAATGGATTCACTATATCTGATATGAGGATTATAATATCACTCCTAACACAAGAGTCTGCAGTCGTCACTTCAAGAGTGATGATTTGATTGAGCCATCGACTCCCTCAGGATGCCGGCTACTGAAGAAAGGTGCAGTGCCCACTTTGTTTGAGTGCTACTGAGGGCAGCTACAATTAGGAGT